TTTTTTTTTGGAACAACAGAAGTGTTCTGATTCTCAGAGGGTATTGGAAGACCGTTTAAGGGGCATTAAGAATCTAGGGTCGTTTAGAAGGATGACTATTTAAATTAAAGAGAACAGCCCTGAGCGGTGGCTCAGACTAGAACTGTAGTATGAGATAATATTATTTCTTTTTAGCAGTTAGCCGAGTATTAAAGCAGCAAGTAAGTGCTTGCGTTCTTGGTTTAAAATTTTTCCGTTATTTTTGGTGCAGTTATCTGAAATGACGATGTAGGAGTATTTTATTCTTTGTTCTGACAAACTCTACAATAAGGGTTTTTTTCTAGCGTTATATGAAAATTTGTTCCAGTTATGAAGAACGCAATAAATGGTGGTGCACATTCAAGAGTAGGGTTATCTCAATTTCCAATTATTTTTTTTTGGTCGGGGAGTACTGGTTATGAAAAATGGCTGTCAGGGTCTTTTATTGGATGGCGGATGCAGTTCAGGTTTTTACTGTCAGGAAGTCCAACTTTCTTTCGTTGGCAGGCAAATTTTGGAGCAGTTTGCTAACAAAGGTTTTCACAAGAATGCGGTCTTCTTCGTCGAGGAGAAGGCTTTGCTGGTTGTTTTTTTCACATTGTGTGAGTTCTAGAAGTGAGCTTCATCTATTAAATGCCCTTGGCTGTTTGTAAAGCAGGGAAGCTGTATTTATTATGGAAATAAGAACTTTTGAGTGATGCACATGACTCAGAGGAGTGGCTATTGAAAAATTACAATCGTCTGTTGCGACATTTCAAGACACTTTCTCATTTTTGTTTACTCAGGATTTGTTGACTGACTTTTGCCAACTAAGGGTCTTAGGGGGTGAGCTTTATTTTTACTCTGAATCAGTGGAAAGATGGGAGAAAAGTGAGGTCTGTTTGACTGTAATTTACTTTTTTTTCAATGAAACAATTTTTTGTGTTTGTAAGCTCGAAATCAGCTTCAGTTCGCGATACGATTTAATGAAATGCAAAGAGGGAAATATTACTTCATATTCCACAATTGTTTCAATTATGTAGCCCACTCTTTCGACAGGCGCGCAGCCGTTGATTTCTCAGTATGCTTTTTTTTGTCGAAAAACAGTTTTAATTTCTCCAGTTTGGAATGGAAGTTTGTTTTTTTTTCTCAATGAAAAACAGTCTTATCCAGTATCCGCCTTGAGTTAGCATTTTTGCCTATATATATATATATATATATATATATATATATATATATAATATATATATATATATATATATATATATATATATATATAAACTATATATATATATATATATATATATATATATATATATATTTAGTTACTTGGTTATTTGTTTATTTAGTTTTATGTTTTTTTTAGGTGAACATAACTGAAAAAAACCTTGGTT